ACACCCACTGGCGGAGCATGGCTGGGGCGGAAGGGGCAATCAGCGCATACCGGACTCGTTTTTTCTATAGATTCAGGGGTCGTTTTTTCGCAATAAAGCAGATTTTTTTTCGTGTGTGGTCGAAAAAAACAAAGGGGGGGTGGGTGCAACAAAAATTTTCACACGCATCGGGTGGCACAAACCCTGGCGACGCCGATGGAACCCAAAAAGTGTTATTCAGAAATCAAAATAGAAAACAGTTTTGAAACGAGCGATGCTCCTGCACGAGCCAATGTATTACTTACAAGCATAATCCTCACGCTACATTCAAATACACGGTACAATGAATAAGGAAAAAATAATAGTAATAATAATACAAATTTAAAAACTAGCACGCATTATTTATTTGTTCGGTGATTCATTCTGATCTACTTCAACTTATCGTTCCTATGTTGGATTCAAATATTAAGAATTTGATTTTGAAATACATTTTTAAAAAAATTCAACTATCTATTTATTTATTTATTTATTTATTTTTTTTGGGCATAGTGGAAGGCGGGCAGGTGGTAGGGGCTGTGTAAAAACTAGAGTATTTTACGAACTGTGAGATGCACCTTAATTTTTAAACTATTTTTTTTTAAAATAATTTTTTTACCATTTTCATATTAATTTGAGTTTAAGATGCATATGAATTTTGTAGGAAATTTTTCGAAGAAAATATGTGCGTCTTATAGTCCATAAAATACGGTATATCATCAACTCAGGGGCAGAGTCTAAGTAAAAAATGATAACATTAACGCAGGTGCTAAGTCTAAGTAACAAATTATGTCATCAACTCAGGGGCAGGGACGTAGGAACAAATTATATCATCAACTCAGGGGCAGGGACGTAGGAACAAGTTATGTCATCAACTCAGGGGCAGGGGCGTAGGAACAAATTGTGTCATCAACTCAAGGGCAGGGGCGTAGGAAGGATCAGAGCGGTCCGCTCCAGGTGGCTCTTTGTTCTTAACACAGAGTGGCTGCAGTTTGTCCAATGCAGCGATTTTTTTTAGTGAAAGGGGACAGCAAAAATCAAGGCCTGCCCCTGGCGGTACTACCCCAGCTACGCCACTGCTCCAGTGTAAGTTTCCACAAACAATTTCGACTTTGTGACGACATCGTTTTGCTATAAGTAGGAGTTTGAACCCCTGAGTCATCTGACCAATGGCTCGGATATGTCCATAAATACGCTGGTCAATCACTGGTGGGGAATCCAGCTGTGCGAAGTAGGCTTCTGCAGATCGATTACGTCATTCGAGAAAATCGATGGCATTACTCCTTGAATTCATCACATTTCTAAGCCTTAGTCACATATAGGGGGAAAATTGTATCACGTGATGAGCGTAATTTTCTTTTCTAAATCGAAAACGGAGTGACTCATCTGTGTGTGTGTTTGTGTGTGCGTGTGCGTGCGATGTGCGTGTGTGTGTGTGTGTGTGTGTCAGCGCTTCTCAGCCACACGGACTTAAACATACAATTGCATTTTTTAAAATTGTTTTTTTTTTTTTGTTACCTTAAAAGACGCTTACATGACGTAATATTTATAAGTGACTTAGTTTTTACGTGTGCCCTTCCCGTGAGTTCACGGCGCAATCTTTACGAAAATCATATTAAATAGCACCCTAATTATATACATTAAACAAAAAGTTGAGCCTCGGGGGACCTCCTTCCCCCACCTCCACCACAGTTACGCTTCTGCGCCCCCCGACTTAATGACAGCCACGCCCTAAAGGCTCCGGGTCACTTATCAGGTCAGGTAAGAAATTGCGCAGGTCAGTTCTAAGAAACGACGGATCTACAGTCATAACAAAAAAAAACCAAAAAAAAAAAAAAACCACAGCTTTCGAAAACACGCGGCTGGTTTTGTCAACAAACCGACATTTTCAAATAGTTTCTAGGTCAGGATCTATAAATAGACCACAATGAAATCACCCCACCTCACAAACAACAGCTGTGAGGTGTCTGGGGGACTTATTAACGGGACGTTCGCTTATTGCACATGTCTTGTAATAATGTCAGCAGACCGGTCGGTTGTCAGTTGGGGACGTCACACCCAATGACAGTGCCGGAAATGGGAAAAGGAAACTGGATGGCCCAAGGGTGGGAGGGGGGTGGGGCCGATTTAATGGTGTCATTTCACGGTCGTGCAGACGCCGGGGCAACTGAGTAAATCAACTGGGGAACTTCCTGCGTAGAGCGTATTTATTGTTAAAAATAAATAAGTGTTTTGAAATTTTCTGGGCCCCGAAAATTGGGAATTGCCCGGGACCCAAAAATCTGCTGTACGACCGAATGTCCAGTTTTTTTTTTTTCAAACAAATTTAATATAGTCTATTTTCTATTAAACAACGCCGTTGTGATGGGCATGTGCTATTTTTAGATGTCGTCTCTCCCCCCCCCCCCTTTTGTTTTCTTAACGAAATAAAAATGTTTAAAATGATAATGTAACTTTTAGGAACTCGATTAATCCAGCATCCCAGATATCCGAAGTAAAATTAAGCGGATGGTTGATGCGCGTTGACTGACGTTTTTTTGCGTATAAAACTGGTGCAAGGTTTGGGAATATCATTAATCATTGCCATCATTCTGCATTACGAGGACGAACCGTCTGACAGTTGGTGTTGAATCCAGTGGTGAATACGCTGCTACCAGTGCGAACAGGAATAAATAAGGTAGTTAACTCCCTACTCGTCCACTAATGTCGATTCCTTTTCTCCCATGCTCTCTCTCGTTCTCTAAGTTTTCTTTCGTCATTCTTTTTTTTTTTTTTTTACCATCTTTATACCTTCCTCAATCTCATCAATCCATCGCTCCCTGTNTACGAGGACGAACCGTCTGACAGTTGGTGTTGAATCCAGTGGTGAATACGCTGCTACCAGTGCGAACAGGAATAAATAAGGTAGTTAACTCCCTACTCGTCCACTAATGTCGATTCCTTTTCTCCCATGCTCTCTCTCGTTCTCTAAGTTTTCTTTCGTCATTCTTTTTTTTTTTTTTACCATCTTTATACCTTCCTCAATCTCATCAATCCATCGCTCCCTGTTCATCCATCTATCTATCGTTACAGCCGTCCATCATCTATCATTTCACCCCATCCATTAATCTATCTAGCTGTCATTCCATCCATACTTCTATCATTCGAGCGATCCATCAACCTATCATTTGACCCATCCATCATTACATCCATCAATCTATCATCCCACCCATCAATATATCATTCCACCCAACCATCAATCTATCATTCCACCCATCCATCAAGCTATCATTCCACCCCTCCATCCAGCTAACCTAGCCTACCAATATATGTATCTCTGCTGCGTACTTACCTAACCCAGGAGTGGCATCTTGAAACTGTATCACTTTTCATTGCCACAGGTTGAATTACGTTATGAGGCAAACTGACTCAGCTCGAGTTCTCGTCAAACGTTCAATGACAATTCTAGTAGTGACCCGTTAGAAAAGAAGATATGTTCAGACTTTCTGACTATGTACAGCAATGTCTGCATCATAATCCAATAAGTACAACAAACACACTTACATAAAAGGAAACACTATGTCTTACACTATGTCTTACACTATGTCTTACACTATGTCTTACACTATGTCTTACACTATGTCTTACACTATGTCTTACACTATGTCTTACACTATGTCTTACACTATGTCTTACACTATGTCTTACACTAACTGATTTATTTTTTTTTAAATTACAAAGTTTGGGAGAGAAAACATTAAATCAGCTAGAGGCTAGAAGGTCAAGAGACGACAACAACAATCCAATTCATTTTTTTTTTACAAATCTTAACTAAGAAGAATCACTTTCACTTGTAGAAGAACGTAACGTCTGGTAAACAACAGGCAGTGGCGAGATAGTAGGGAAAGCTGGTAAACAACAGGCAGTGGCGAGTTAGTAGGGAAAGCTGGTAAACAACAGGCAGTGGCGAGATAGTAGGGAAAGTTTTCATCAAATTTAAAAAACATCGATCCTACCAATGGGTTCTTGGCTGAAATGTCGACTCACAGAAATAGACCAAAGTTCATTTCGATAGGCCTACATCGGCGTTTGACAAAGTGTTTGAATTGTTTAGGGAAAAAACAGTTATCGCTATTCGGGTATTCTTAACGATTTTGCAACATCGCACCCCTTCTTGATTTCAAAACATTTCACCCCCCCCCCCAACTATTTTTACGATAGTTATGAAATGAAAATAAACATTCCATTCAAAACAGGAGCCAAAATGATCGATAAATCGATCGTGGGTCCTAAAAAAGAAAAGAAAACATGATTTCCTGGGTTTCCTCGCACCCCTTGACACTTCCGCACCCCCAGGGTGTGCGGGGATCCCTGGTCAATAACCCCTACTATAAAGTGGGGGAGGGGATTTTGTTGTATCTGCCTTTCTTACTAGGCCTCTCATTTCTTTTATTCATTTATCGTTGGCTCACACAGTGGCGTACTTAGGGTTAGTATCTTAGGACCTATATCCCCCCCCCCCCCCCCC